CCCCCTCCCTCTCCCCGTCCTCCTCCCCCTCCCCCTCCCCCCGGCCACGGAGCAAGCCGAACGCCTCCCTCCCAGCCAAAGGCCGCGGTCCAGCGTTCCGGGCCGAGCCTGGAAAGGATGAGTCGGCGTCCGGCCGGCGGCGCACAAGCTCCGAAGGCTTTCGAGGCTCCCTTGGCGTTGCCTGGCCGTGGCCTGCCTGGGGCTGCTGGGGCCCGGGGCTCTCCACTCGTCCGGCCATTCGAGCTGGCTTGGCACCAGAGCCCAGATCCGCCCGGGGCCCCCGCGTGCCGGGACCCTCCGGAGCCAGGACTCCCGCAGCCCCCAGGAAGCCGCCGCTGTCGCCCGCCTAGCCCCGCTCCTCTCATGCCTCGAGAGGAGTTCGAGGTCCCCGTTAGAACGGGACCTTCTGGAGGGCAGGCACAGCCTCAACTTTAGCGTTTGTAGCCCCAGCGCGTGGCACACAGGGAGTGGATCCTTCTCCCCAGCCCCCCATTCCATCACTCAGTCATTCACTCCAGAAAAGGCTCCTGTACCACGAGGGAGCGCCCCCAAGGCCCCATGTTCTCCCTTGGCATCTACTCGCTCTCGAGAGAGCAGGAGACAGGCTGCGTCTGCAGACCGAGCCACTCCTTCACGGGCAGAAGGGGAGGACCCCTGGGGCTTGGTTCCACCACGCCATCACGGGCCGCCTCACCCGGCAGGGCCACCTCCTACTACAACCGTGGCTTTACTTAGCTGCTGCGTTAGAAACGAACTAAGTAATCGTAACAGCGGTTCACTTTTTAATAGCACCTGGTACAGTGCTTTCCTCAACGACTTCGACGCAGATCGTGTACTTACTGTTCTTCTAAGAGAAGCGACTGAGGTTCGTAGAGAAGTGATTCCCCGGCACCATGGATGGTAAGAGGTGGGACCTTCTAAAACTGGAAAGAACCTGAGAGGCCACTGAGGCCAAAGCCCTCATTTTAGAGGTAGGGACACTGAGGCCCAGTGAGGCGACTCATCCAAAGTCCCACAGAGAGAACGGGGCCAAGTTGGCCTTGGAAGCCAAGCGTTTGGACTTCACTTTCAATGCTCCTTCTGCTTTTGGCCAAGGTATGTAGACTGAGAATATCATCAGAGAGATGTAGGACTGAACAAGACGGTGACGTAGGAAGAGTGAGAGATAATTGACTAGCTCACACTCTTCACTGGCATCCCCGAAGTGCCAAGGGGGGACTTTAGGCAGCCCCTCCCCCATCCCTATGTTCCTGTGGTGTATTTATGAGAGTCCCATGGGGTGAGAGGGCAGGGGTGGGTCACCATCTGCTTCTTTGAAGGAAATGCATGGAGGCACTGATTAGCATGAATGATCAATCCCCTGCGTGCATTCAAATACTCACTATTGGAAGTTACAATTATATAAAATATGGTCGTTATTTCCAGCTCAGTGGAAATGCGCCGTGTGAATCAATAAGCATTTATCAAGTGCCTACTATGTGCCAGGCACTATGGTGGCAGTTTCAGAGGATCCATTCTTTTCAGCACTGCTCTGCCCACAACAATGAGATCCTTGAATCAGACATGTGTTAAGAGTATTAGCCCCACCTCCACCAACCATACCAGCACTCCTTTCATGGATCTGTGATCTCATTCTTGTCAGGACTCTATTCACTAGTGCAGATTGCAGCCCATCCCCTACTTCCCTTCTTGGTGACTTGTCTGTGCCCTTACAGGTCCCATCCAGGACCTTTCTCTGGGCTGCTTAGACTTTCCTCAGGTACCAGTGCTGCCCTCAGACTGTCCACATTGTCCTCTCTCTGGTACATGTCCTGGATGGAATGTCTTAACCGCACTTTCTTTATACGCATTATATTATGGATAACCGGCAGCAGACAAGTTCACACACCACAAGGATCTCAATGGCCTTTTGGGTCTCTGCCCTGATATTATGACCAGGGTCACTGCCCTGATATTATGGCCAGGGTCACGGGGAGCATACTGGTCTTGATGAGAAAGGTTTCGGGGGTCAAGGACTAGCTTGGGATTGTTGATGACCCTGCCCAGTTTCCCAAATGCCATCCAGCCCGTCCCCTCCGTCTCATCCAGTTTCCATCGCCACACTTGTTTAAGAAACAGGTGTACCAGTGGGCTCACTCCATGAGGTACCTCAGTGCGCAGCTGGGTCACATACATTCCTCATCCACTTGTTTTTTCCTGTGTGGATTGTAAGGCAGATCTCTCTCAAGTGGCCGTGCCTCTCACTGAGGAAGTCCTGAATGTTCTGTAGCTTGGAGCCCCTGTCAACAGGCATATCTGGGGAACCTCTCTCCCCATTCTCTGTTAAAATTGGGCATTATGAAAATAATTCAGATTTTTCTAGAGTTTTAAGCTTGTCCCTAGTGACAAGCTGTGATATAGGCACTGCAAATGTCATCATACCCATTGTACAGATGAGAGAACTGAGACACCGAGGATTTAGAGAACTCACCCAAAGACATGTAGAGCCTCCAGGCCAGGTCTGGGCCTGGAAGCCAGGCTTCCACATAAGAAATCTGAGGCCCTGAAATGTTCAGAAGTTGCTATTTAATTCCTTGCTCCATTCAGCTCAAGTGGCACCTCCTAAATGATTTTCAATTCCCCATGGGGAGCTCTTCTTTCACCTCCCTGTGACATTTACTTTGGTATTTCCTATGTAACAATAGACCTGGTGGGACTCTATATTGGGGCAGCCATTCTCCCTTTCCCACTAAAGGGGCCCTTACTCTGGGCTTATGTGGACTAGGCTTAGTCAGTCAGCAATCATTTGTTAAGCACCTACTATGTGCCAGGCACTGAGCTAAGCAGTATGGATAAGGGGGGGGGGAGTGCAGAACAAAAACTAACCCCTGCCTTCAAGGAGCTCAGGGTCTAATATTGGAGACAACAAGCAAACAGCTGTGTCATATGTATATACATACATACATGTGTACGTACACACGTATGTAAAATAACTTGGAGGTAATCAACAGAGTGGAGGCACTAACATTAAAAAGGCTTTTTGTAGAAGATAAGATTTTAGCTCGGGCCACCTCTCGTCTTAAGAGAGGGGTCAGGCTTTCTTCTTGAGCTCTCTGACTCATTTAACTACTGTCTGCCTCAGTTTCCTTATCTGTAAAATTGGGATAATAGTAGCACCTATCTCGAAGCTTTATCGTGAGGATCGGATGAATAAACATATGCAAAGAGCTTTGCAAATCTCCAAGTGCAATATAAATGCTAGTTAGTATTTTCCTTCATTAGTCTGTGAGTTCCTTGGGAGGAAGTGGCGTCTTTTGCCTTGCTTTGTGTCCCAGTGCTTAGCCCAGTGCCAGGTACATCGTAGTAGGTGCCTGATAAATGTTTCCTGACTGGCTGAACTCATCTGTGTGGAGTGTTCAGGAGGACTAGCACCTCTGGAGTGAGGGCTTGCCAAGCCCCTTTCTGGGTTGCTCAACCACTTTTGGTGTCTACCTACCACCCAACTCTCACCTGTGGCTCCAAGAAGCTGTACATGTGTAGCCACCACACCCTGGTAAACTATTATGCAGATGGGCTATACCAGATTGAGGGGAATCAACCCTCCTCAATCCTGTTGGTGAGTTGGGGGTGTGGGTCGTCTACCCCAAGCATGTGAAGACTTCCCCTGGCAGAGTGGGCAGAGGAGAACAGTTTGTTCCAAAGGCCGCCAAGGTAGCTAAAGCAGGCACTGTGGAGCGCTTAGGGCTAGGTCAGACACCAAAGCCGGCAAGGTCATCCATTGCATCCTGGGCAATCACCAGCGGCCCCGACTTTTGTCCTGCCACTGGACTTTGATGACTCTGGAGGAGAGAGTGAGGCTGATGACTTTGTGTAGCTCTGCCTCACTTAAGTCTAATTTATGAGTGAGTCCAGACATCATCCTCTGATGTCATCGGTCCTCTTTGAAATGAACAACAATGATGACCCATCCCAAAGCCCAGAAGAAAGTCACTTGAAATCTAGATTTGGCTCACCTCCAGGGTTTCCCCAAAAGGGAAAAGAAAGTCACTCAAAGTATAATAGAAACTAAATGTAGGACAGCTATTTATTTCCTCCACACTGAAAAAAAAATGTT